GGGCCTCAACAAATTTCATACCTGATTTTTCCTTCACCACCGAGGAGGTACCAACTTGTTGCAGAAGGTCAGGTGAGCGGATGACTTCTTCTCCTAACCTGGACCCAGAGTGAACATTCGTGTTCCCCTCGACAGCTACAACCGCTAATGGAGTAGCTTCAACCAAGTTGTCATCCAATCACACACGATGGGGAGTTGGGGAGGCTCTCTCGACGACAACACACTTGCCAACGAACTCGCAGACTTGTCTTGATCTGGTGCCGCAGTCGGGCTTCTTCCACTTCCAATAGCTTCGGTAGGAAAGTTCCTACCATACACAAAGTTTGGTGGCGAACTGGGCTGGGCTTCCTTGGGACCCTTAGTCGGTTGGGTTAACTAGTTCGAAACAACTAAGACCGGAGGTCTATTGCAGTGGCTTGGTTTGCTGGCTGCTTTCAAGGTCTGGCCCCCACTAGGACCCACTTTAAGATTCGGGTGTGGAGTGAAAGGGCTTTTGCTTCTCTACGAAGAGCCTACATCTTCCTCAACCCCAAAGAAACTCCCCTTTTCGGGTTTACCCTCTCCTGACTACATCCCTTCCCCCCAAATGCCACATGGAATTCAATCAGGCGTTCCTTAATCAAATGTTTTAGGGAGTCGACAGTTAATATGTTCCCCTTTTAGAATTCAAAAATTGAAACTCCCTCCCTTCCCTCTGCCCCCCTACCCGCTCATCCTGATCGTCCAACGAAGCAACGATCGGACTGCCCCTGTCTAACCTTCCTCACTCACCTCCCAACTCTGTTCCACCACCCACGACCATAGATTCCACCCCCTGCTGAACTCAAGAAGGTGGGGAGGTCATCGACCCCTTCTCTTGACCGCCTCTGCAAGAGAAACTTTTGTCCCCCTCCTCACAAAGAACGACTGTTTTAGAAATTTCCGACAACTATTTCCGCCTTTGATGGACAATCTCCCCACCCTTAGAACTTGGCTTCCACCTATGCGCCACTGGAAGGGTCTCCGACCAAACACGAATAGTGAAGATCACCTCGCCAACCACAATGTCCACTTTTTCAAGGATGTTGCTACCATCTCTAATCTTTACCCGAAACCATTCACAGGTCACCAGTTCACTAAGAGAATCGTTGGTTTGAATGAACCCTCTACAGGCATCCCCCACAACTCTTATCACATTTGGACACTAGAGCAATTGAGGGAGGCTATAAATCCTAATCCAGGTTTGCTCCACCGGTGGTTCCTATTGGTCCTACGCCTTTGAATAGAAGCATCCAACACTCTTCCCCCACCAATCAAGTAACACGTTGGATCCTTCCAATCGCCAGGGACTATTCTGGATCACCCACTCAGCCTCATATTTGGACAAGAAAATGAAGAGGAACAAGCCATCTGCGAGTTTTTTCACTCTCACACCCCCCACTTATCTCCAAGCTCTATTAGCCCAGATGTCCACCCGCCTCACATCTGCCCCCTTAGGAAAGCGACCCACCAAGCAATTGTATAGGAATTGTCTTCTGGCCTCCACCTCCTCCACCTCTGTATAAATCACCTTCCTACCACCCACCCGCTTAAAAAACGCTTGCCCTAACTCCGACCAAGCCCCCGCTCTCAAAGCTGACCCTACCTCTGGAATCCTTCCTTCGATACCAGCTCTCTGAACCCTACTTCTTGGAAGCAGGCCTGCCTCCACCTGCAGCACCACCCTAAAACCCCATCTTCAACATTCAAGATGGGGGAGAACAACACTAGCAGGGGAGGGGGGGGGGCAGGTTCTATTCTTCATCTTTTTTCTTATGTACACGCATTTGAATTTTTTTTCTTATGTACATGAACAATATTATGAGATCTCAAGTTGCGCATTTTCTTGTTAATTATCCTGTTAGTATGATCCTCCGCATCCTCTTCAAGATTGCTTCTTCAGCCCAACTCAACACCCAACCTTCCGATCTCAACCTCCTCATAATGCCAACCTTCTTCAACTTTCCTTTCAACCTCTCCTTCAATGGGCTCATCACCACAATAAATTTCCTTTCCCTCAATCTCGCCCTCAATTTCCATGTCAACACCAGTGTGAACAATCCTTTCTTGAGCCTTTTCCTCCCCTTTCCAGCCTTATTGATCCAACAGAGGCCACAACCTCTGGATGCATCAAAACTGGGCTTCTAGAATCGTAACTAGTCTCAAAAAGTGTCTTACTTGTTCCTTCGAACTCTGGGGATACATATTTCCCGTCAGGCTCCCTACTGACCAGTGAAAGACGGCCAACTTCACCAACCACAGAAGATGGATCGTGGTCGAGTAGCTTTCTTGGACCACTAATGATCCTCTTTTTACCACTTTTGTCAAACCTGGCTATTAGCCAAACCCACCTCTCTACCTTTCCTTTTCTAGCCTCAATCGTGACCCTCTTTGTTGCTTTGTTTCTCTTCAACATTAGCTTTACAAGCCCTAAGCACCGTCTCTTGCCATTATTCCTGTCCCTGAAACGATTTTCCTTCCTGCCCAAAAGCAAGTCAGTTTTGAAAACTTGGTCATCTCTCGACCTTCCTAATGAGTGAGAAGAGTCTTTTGGGCGAAATCCCTGATTTGCATCCGACCGAGAGCTATTAAACTCAACATTGAACTCTCGAGCGTCCCTTTTAACAATGAACTCATCGGGACAATCTGACAAGTTGCTAAAGTCCCTTTGAATTATACCTAGTTTGGTGCAAACTCCCTCGACCCCTGACCCTCTCTCTTCACCTACTTTATCGCCCAATCCGCTCGAGTTTAACCTATCAAAAGGATTTGGATCTTCGATGACCTTTCATTTCTTGAGCTTACTCTTCAACCTTCCAAAGCCAAATAAAGTATCTGTTTTTTTCCAAAATGCAATTAGTATTCTTTTTTGCTCCTGACCTTTCTTCTTCCATGCTGAAACCCATACTGGAATCATCTTTTGACTGACCTTTCATTCCTTTGCTTCCACAGGCCTCCACCCTGCCAGGCTGCCACATCAGCTTCACCTTCCACCTCTTGACCTTCCCCCAGAGAGACACTTCATGTTCCGTCGTAATCCATACCTTCGTCCAGGCCCCATTCGAGAAAACATCAAGGGCATGAGGAACCTCCAGCTTCACTCCAGCAACAGCAACCATTGCAGAACTGAGCTTTGAGGTGTCACAAGAAATGAAAGAACCTCCAATCGCCGTTGCAACCTTCTCCAAAACTGTTGTCTCCCAAGGATTGAAAGGGAGCCCAAACAATCTGATAATGAAGGCCCCATTGTGGAGCTCCTTGCTGCTGGAGGATACTGTCCATCTCTGGAGCCAGATAATGCCTGAATCAGTCTCGGAGCTATCAAAATCTATAATTTTTTTTTTCAACTACCAGAACAGCTTGTCTTCTGTCAAAGTGGAAAATTGAAGCTCCTGAAACTACTTGCAATTTTTTCTTTAATCCAAACAAAATAATACCCCAGTCCTTGACGTCCCTTTCTGCTTTCAAAAGAATCAAAACCAATATTCTCTCTCATCCCCCTCTGTTTCCTTCCACCATCAAATTTTGCACTTTGGTGGTGCTACCCACGATTACTCCCTGTTCAATCTCTCTGTTTGGTAAAACCTTGAAGTTTTAACCTTAGGCCAGATCTTCAGCTCTCATCCACAGAAAGTCTTGAAGATTCTGAGCAACCAATCTCCAGCCCGACCCCTGCTTTTCTTCAGGTAGGCAAACTGATTGTTTTCTATTTTTGCCAAATACCTGTCATAGCTACAAACCATCCTTTCTGATTGGATCTCAAAATCGCTTGATACTTTCTGCGTGGACTTTCAAAGAGCTCTCCCAACCATTGGTCTTCATTGAAAAAATCACTCCATCGATGAAACCTTTCAACCACTGTGTAGCTTCTCCAGTTAAGAAAATAGTTGCTCTTCCCTCTCTTAGTTTCAGAACTACTTGGTCCCTGCCTTTTTCTTCTTCTAGAATCTGTTTCTTCGCCTCAATCGTGTTCTTCGTTCTCCATCGCACTGAAGCGAGATCTGCAAAGGCTGCCCCTCTAACTTAACACTCTCCTTGGGTGTTTACTCTTGTTTTTACTTTTTTGGGCTCTAGACCTTTTTTTGATAACTTTTTTGGGCTTTAGACTTTGATGCTTTCAATCCTTATGTTTTCCCATGTTGTTTGGTTTGGGCCTATTCCAGCTAATCCCCCTCTAGATATTAGCTGGGATGTACGAAAATCAAGATCTGATTCTTCAAAGGTTGCCTTCATGTGAATCTTATGCAACAAGAGTGGAGATTTGATCAATAACTTGCTTCTATCTATCTGTCGATCTATATACATACATCAGTGCTCCATGGACTCTCCTAAGTGGTAGGTGTGATCATGGGCCAGGCCAGGCTTCTGGGCATATGATTTTAAATATAAAACGTAAACTATATAATGTGTTATATGTGTCATATATATTATACACACAATAGGTGCCATTTTCAGAAACCATTATTAAGATAAAAATATAAAGTTCTAGGCATTTTTTTATAGGTATACAATGTTAGAATTCAAAAAAATAATTGGACTATTTTAATAGTTCATGCATTGGATTATGATTCCTGTGTTTGCATCCATGCAACACTGATGTATGTATATTTTATGTTCTATTTATTTATTTATTAGGCCATTGCCCAATGTTGGTCCCAACTATCTGGGGTCTTGGGAGGGGTAGACTGGATATGCACCTAACCTTTTTTTCCCCTCAATGGATCATTATCCAATGTTTTGTTATTGTATTGTTGAATTAAAATTACCAGTCTATATGTTTATAAGTGTTACATATTTACATATTTTAAATGTTTAGTGAAAATTTATTTGTAGTTACTTATAAAACAATTAGTAGCAGTTAAAGAAGAGGAGGGGTCTATAGCAAGGAGAAGAAAGGTGGATAACGGGGTATTTTTATTTAATCTGTGAGTTATACTTGTGTTTGCTTCTAATTATTATATGCCTCTACCTCTATTGTGTAGATTTGTTCCTTGCTTCATCAGAGGTACAAGGATTTCTCGCCTAGCCTGATTCAGGGTCTCTTGAAAGTCTTCTTTCCTGGAAAATCTGGGGATGACTTGGATGTGGATAGGAGCTTGAAAGCCATGAAAAAACGCAGCACTCTAAAACTTCTCATGGAACTTTACTTTGTTGGAGTTATAGAAGATGCCAGCATTTTCATCAATATTATTAAGGATCTTACAAGCTTAGAGCACTTAAAGGACCGAGATACAACTCAGATGAATTTATCTCTTCTTCTTAGTTTTGCTCGACAAGGTAGAATTTTCCTTGGGCTTCCTCAGTCAGGACAAGAAATTCATGAAGAGGTACACTTTTATTTTTTTGTAATTAATATATGCTCTCATTGTTGGTTTATAGCATATGCTAAGAACTTCCAAGTTTGAAAAGTAGTCTGATCATCAGAATGAAAGACACTTTATGAGTTTTTTTTTTCTTTTCCTTTTTTTTTTTATTGGAAACACCATAAATAATTGTTTTTCACTAATAAGTGCACTGTCATTTGCTGTTTGTGTTTTGATATTCTCTTCAGGGTTCATCATCAACATCATCATCTAAGCCTTGCCCCAACTGTATGGGGTCAGCCATATAACTTCTGTTTTACCATTTCATTCTGTTCAGTGCCATATCCATTTTTAAATTATGAGCCCTTGAATAATTTCTACTACTTCAACCTATGTTCTTTTTGGTGTACCCCTCTCTCTTTATCTCTTTCAACTTTTATCAGATCACTTCGTCCTATAGGTGCTGTAGATGGTCTTCTTTGCATGTGACCACCCTATCTTGGTCTACTTCTCCTCATTTTATCACTTACTGGAGCTACTCCTAGGTTCCCTTTGAATGAGTAAATTTCTGACACTGTTCTTTCTAGCTTTTCTACACATCCATCTAAATGCCTCACTCATTTTGTGGACATTCTGTTTCTTGATTGCCCAACACTCTGCTCAACACCCTACCCTTTGTCTTACACCTGCTTTTAAACATCTTGTGGTCATTGAATTTAAAAGTATGCTGCAGTATATTTCTATCTTTAATTTTCTATGACCTTTTTTGCAGTTTTTTAAGGGTCTTAATATCACAGCAGACCAAAAGAAAATATTCAAGAAGGCATTCTACACATACTATGATGCTGCTGCGGAACTTCTTCAGTCTGAGCACACGGTAAGAACTTTAGGCCATTGATATTGCACTTGATTGTTCTAGTTGCTTTACTTTTCTTCTTTGCTTTTTCTTTTTTTATTGCTTTTTTCCTTTGTTCATTTATTCTTCCCTCCCTTATTTGGATCCCTGATCCTACTTTTGTTTCTTCTTCCTGTCTTTATACTTGTGTTTTGCAATTTATCAACTGTTGTTCTTTTCTAAACAGTCTCTTCGTCAGATGGAGAACGAAAATTCAAAGATCTTAAATGCTAAAGGGGAGCTCAGTGATGAAAATGTGACTTCATATGAAAAGCTGAGAAAATCTTATGATCAATTATTCCGTGGTGTCTCGTCGTAGGTTCCCCCCTGCTGATGCTTGTTCTTGAGTCTATATGAATAATATATTATATATCTTATTTGAACTTGGACAGCCAGTTGGATTGAATACTCTATATGAGCTAGTAAATTCTGAATTTTTGACAATTTGTTTTTTTATGAACTAGAAGTTTGTTCTCCACACAACTTCTACTAGTGGGTGTGGGTGTGTGCACATATATTATGTTATTTGATTTTGTTTATGGGATGCTCTAGAATATTTCTGCTTCGTTGGACAGTATCAAGCATATCCGACTCTAGATGACTTAAACTTAAAAAATCCAGATCCTAAATGACTTAGTGTCCTATTCTGAAATTTCTTTTTATCTTCAAAAAAAAAAAATCTTGGTTTAATTCAAATCTCAGTATAGTCGTCTTATTTTCTTATACAAATTCATGCATGGCAACAAACTTCTTGAGCAACAAAATAGTATGATCCCGAAATCCAAAGATATGCTATTGAAGTGCTTAGTTCTAGCTGTTGGTTTCCAAATTTGTCATCATCAGTCCTTCAAATAACTTTTCCCTCTAGATGGTCTTGTGATGAACTGACATGAGCTTCTATCATCTTTTTTAGGTCAAAGTTATGACCTCTGCTCCCCTATAAGTCAAAATGATTTGTTGAAATTGAGAAGGTTTTATGTAAGCATTGTTTTTACCCTCAATGGGTTGGAATAATATGTATTAATAGATTAAAAATAGTCCGAAGGCCCTTCTGCAACTATACAATAGTCATAAGTTAAGAACCATATGCAGAAAAACAAGGCTGTACAAAAAGAATCATCGTGTATAATCCTCCTCAGCCCCAAGGTGAAGAAACCTCCGAATTCTTTGATACATGCTTCCCATAAATGTATCTGCCTTTATATTTTTCCAATTATCCTTTTCTTTACCATCATTAAAAAAGAAAAAAAAATATGGTGGTTGAAGCTGAACTTTGATGGAAGCAGTATTGGTAATTTGGGGCCATCTGGAATAGGAGACATGGTGCATGTGAGAATGTAGTAAATAAATCCCAAGGCAGTCCCATAGCTAGGAAATGTGGCACTCAAGAACAAACAAGTTTCACCCGCAAAAAGAATATGAGACATTTCTCAATGGATAACTTCCAAATAGGGAATACAAAAAGGAAGTATTCCAGAGAAAAATGATATGATAAATTCAATTAATATAATAAATTAAACAAGTTTCAATCACATAAAGATGGCAATCTGTTTCACCATTGCCTTTCGAATACACTATTTTAGTAAATTTCTCCCAAATCAGCTAGTGCTTCCCAAAAACCATCATGGATGCTCTATCACTATGGGTGGATTAAAGGTCTAAACAAAAGGGGAAATGTGGTTTGTGTTAGATAGTGTATGCCCTTAGCTCCAATCAGATTGATGTACAGATACATTTATTGTAAATGAATAAAAGTACATTATTGTTTTATGTTGATATTGGTATGTTTATGTGAAATTACCCCTTAAACTAGCACTTATGAGACTCGTGTTAGTTTAGAATGTTCTCAACCACTGGATAGACTTGGGGAGTTTATCCTGCCAAGGTTGACACTGATGTGCTGCCAAAGAAGTTGGGGCAGCTTGTCTCAATTGCTAGGGTTAGACTCAAAGCACATGTAATGTGTGTTTGGATGAAACATTGAATCAAGACCATTTTCTAATTATGCCCTGGACCTTGGAGATTGATGGGCAAAATTGGAAAGTTACACATAACCCCTAGACTTGATTATGGTACTACACTAGGTGTTGGATTGGGCTGTCTTTGATATGCCAACCAGTGAGATCCATCAAGTGTTAAAACCTGGGTATGTTGGGGCAGTCTAAGAATTCACCTAAGTAGGTGATCATAGTGATAATATCGACCTCTTTGTCGGACAAAGTGTTTGAGATTTGGTTTTGCAAAATATATTTATATGATATATATTATATATTAATGTTTTATGGAAAATGTTTGCAAAAGGTTTTAATTCCCGGGATCCATTCAATTTGAGAGTGTGACATTGTACATTGCATCCAGGGGAAAGGTCATTTTGTGTCGGGCAGTGTTGTTATCATTATGGGCCAAGAAATTAAGTGTAAGAGACCATTACAGGGTTGATTACCTAATGGGATTTATCTTACTTAAGTCCTTTATCCTTGGGTCTTCATAAGATGGCTAAATTCAAGGATCATTTATTGTTAATGTTGGGCCCATTGACCCCATAGTGATGTGCTTAGGGGTTCACTGTGTTTAGCAGTAAATTCGGCTAAGCCTTTTCATAGAGGCTGGACCGAACCCATGTGGGACTTATGTGAGGTCATTGTGGGGTTGCACGCCATACAAATCAGGCCTAAGTTGGCCATGCAACATCTTGGGTCGTGAGCATTTGAAGGACTTGGACCTAAGGCCCATAATTAATAAGATTAAACTGTCACATGACAACTTAAGCATAGTTTTCAAAGCGCCAAGGCGAGGCTAGGCGACAGGGGGGGCGCCTTGTCGCCTAGGCGATGGGTTTTTTTTATGTAGAAAACATATATCCTAGGGTAGTTCCCTAGGTACCATAACCATATTTCCTTATTAATTATTCATAATTTTCATAAGAAAAGTAGAGAGTTCATGTTAAAGTATAGAAAATCAACATATTCATGAGAAGAAAAAGAAGAAGGAAAAGAAAATTCAAAAAATATAGGGGCTGAACCCTTATTTTTGTTATGGGAAAAGAAGAAAATGTGTTGATTAGAAAATGTGTAGTAGTAGTAGAAAATGTGTTGATTAGACAATATTTTAAGTTCTTCCTTATTGGTTCAGGTTTTAAAGTCTTTGGGGGTTCAATACAGCATTTAGCAATGTTTATATTGATTAAATAAAACCCTAACAAAAAAGAAAATAATAAAAAGAAATTAGTATATAAACACAAAATGAACATTTTAGTTTAATAGTGCTTATTTTATAATTATAATGTCAAAAAATAAAGAATAAAAAAGTATTTTATAATACATAGTACAAAACTGTTTGGCGATTAGGTGAGTCGAGCCTCAAAGGGTGCCTTATCACCTAGGCGTTGCCTTGACAACTATAAACTTAAGTTGTCATGTGCTCTGGGTCAAATCTGGGTTTGGAAATGGGTGTGGAGCATCCATCCTGTTAAGAGGATAAGGCTTTTCTTAATAGAGTCTAGATCCAAATTAGATTTGGATAATCTCCTAATTTGATTAGGAGAGTGCTCCATAAGGAGATAAAAGAAGAAGAGAGCGAACCAGACTAGGAAACCACTCTCTTTTGTTCTCTCTTCTTCTCTTTTGTCTTCCAAGAAACCCTATCACGACTTAGGCTTTCAAGGACTGATAGAGATCAATTTTCTTCTGTTTTTTGCAAGAAAAATTCAGAGGAATTTCAGGCTCACCTTCCCTAGTTCGATCCAAGCAATTAGGTTGCAGTTTTGCTGAATCGTCTTCACCTATAACATTGCACCATCTTCAGTGGAGGCTGATTTTAGGATTGATTTGGACATGAACTTTCCACCTTGGGATCTGCGTTTGTGGTATCTATATCCGGTGCACATCTCCCTCTTTGTTTGGTTTCAAATCTGGTTCGGTTTAGTGCAAGACCGATCCTGAAAAATGCAGTTTTTCAAAACATAGGGAATTTGATTCCCAGAAGGATTAGGAAATTTTTTGAAATTTCGCCCAGCCATCTAGCATGGTTCAGCCATCCACATGATGGATCCTAACCCTTCAAACAGTTTGAAGCCTCCTCTCCTTATAAACCATTTGGATGATATAACTAAAAGATGGAAGAATTTTCAAGAATATGTCCTCGGAGGCTGAGGTGCTAAGGAAGGCTACAGTGAAGGCTCATTGTTGTCTATCTGTGCATAACAACTTTAGAGGATGTTCCTGATACTTCTCATTTGATATACACTTTTTTGCACAAAGATAAGTCCTTTATAGTTTTCTGTTTTATTCTTTTTGCAGGGCTGAGATGCTGAATACCTCTGTATTGCTAGTTACCATAGACAGGCTATGCTTGTACTTTTCTTTAATACTCAAGATTAATGCAATTTATCTTACCCTTGTCAAAAGATAGGAAAAATAATCTCTTAGTGTACTTCATTTCTAAAGACCAAAATTTACACACAATTGGCTTGACTGTTGGAGAAATTTTAGGATATTGCATGTTTATCTTATTCATGAGTCTATCTTATCTGTGTGTGTGCTCGCAACTGTGAATTGTGCGTGTGCCTGTTCTTTTTTTTCTCTTTTTTTTTGTGTGTCTGTGTCTGCATTTTTGTAGCTTCTGAATAATATCTATACACTCCATATTCTCATGAGATCTTCTTTTCAGTTTAGCAGAAGCACTGGATATGCAACCTCCTGTAATGCCAGAGGATAGTCACACAACTCGGGTAACAACTGGAGAGGATGCATCATCTCCTGCTGCTGGAAAAGAATCTTCAGTTCTTGAGCCATTGTGGGATGATGAAGATACGAGGGCCTTCTATGAATGCCTACCGGATCTCAGGTTTGTTTTGGTCGGATCAGGCTTGTCAACTGATAGTCTTAAATTTTAGCTGTTATGGCATGTTCCTGTTGGTCAGATTGTCTTAGATCTTATATTCTATCCAGAGCTTTTGTTCCTGCTGTATTGCTGGGAGAAGCTGAGTCTAAGATCGCTGAACAATCTTCCAAGACACAAGAGCAACCAACTGTAAGACAGCAAGAACCTGTTAATAGCATTCTTTTGTTTTTTCTTATAACAACTGTTTATATAATATATTGTATTACTATGCAGAATAGGGGATAAAATCTGAATTAGCTAAGCATTGTCCCAACTATATGTGGCCAGCTACATGAACCATGTTCTGCCATTACACTATGTTCAGTGCCACATCGATTGTTAACTTGTGGGCTCTTAAGTCATTTTTGACTACTTCAACCTATGTCTTTAGTCTTTACTCTTTAGTCTGCCTCCAGTTCTTCTAGACCCTTCAGCTTGTAATAGATCATTTCTTCTAACTGGTGTTGTAGATGGTCTTCTTTACAAATGACTGAACCATGTTAGGGATTGTTTAATAACGACTGATGGAGGCAGAAGGAATAGGGCATTCTTCTCATTGTTGACTTTAGGGTTTGGAGAGAGGTGGTTGGTACAACTAGATGTGTTGAGGAGATGACTTTGATATTGGCCGAGCAACAGTTACAAGAAATTGGTAGTAGGGTGTGGGAGATTTGTCCAGTGGATTGGAGGGAGGCAGAGGAGGTTCAATCAGAATCGTCGTCCAGTGGACTGGAGGGAGGGAGAGGAAGCTCAATCAGAATCTTTTTTTTTTTTTTATCAGTGCAGAATCTTTTTTTATTGAAGAGTAAAAAGAGGCATTTCATTAAACAAAAGAAAGAAATACAATCCAAGAGGTGACAAGATGGCACCTCACCATAGACAACAAGTCAACAACTTTAAAAACTACAGCAATGAAAACTGAAAGGAACTACATATGAATTTCATGAACATCCCAAAAATTTCCCCCCATATCTGATTTACTAATTTGGGCAAATTCTGGGAGCACTGAAGTTCAAATCGCCACTAGTTTCTCAACCAGCCATGATTTAATAATCCTAGACTTTCTTCAAATCTTCTATTTCTGTCATTCCAGAGGGCCCAGCAAACAGCAAAAGGGATGCAGATCCATATTATCTTTACTTTCGTCCTGCCTCTGATACTTGGCCAGGGCTGAGAAGAGTTCAGCTGTTGATCTTGGCTGAAATACTCCGACTCCTAGCAGTGAAGAATAGAAATTCTAAATAATGTTTGCAACCTTACAGGTGTAGTACGGATGGAGAACTGTCTCTTCATCCGAACTACATAAAAACAGTAGTTGGCTGAGCTAAAGCTTCTTATCTTTAACTGATCTGCAGCTAATATGCTGTGCAAAGTGACCAACCAAGCAAAGGGTTCCACTCTATGAGGAACTGGATTCCCCCAAACCCCTTTCACCTGATCTGTAACCATTTGATCTTTCACCAATGCCAGTAAAAAGACTCCAATCATAAACTCTTCCTTTGATCAATATCTTGTTTGTGGGTAACAGTGGATTAGTTGCTCTGTGACTAAGTCTTTATAATAGGTAGCTGTTGAGGGATTGTTGGTTTTGAAGAAAAAGCTAAGGAGATAGGTGAGAACTTGACGCCAAGTTTATTCAGCAGGGAAGATGACCAGGTTCTGGTTGATGGAGTCCATGAGGTAGGTAGGAAAATCTTGGTGAAAATGGCAGAGGAGCATCAGATGTGGGTAGCCAGAAAGTGGGTTTTTTTTCCTGGAAGGGGAGAAGGTGGGGGTGGTCATTTCTAGGCTGGCCTGGCCTGCAATATATTTATGTATTACATATCCAAATATTATAAAATGACACATGTAATATATTGTATATGATATTTATATTTATATAAATTATAACATATATTTTCTACCTATACTATATGTTATATTATATAAAATATTGTGCATATTAAATATAATGTATTTAAAGGCATAGGCCCAAAGCCCAGCCTAGCCTCAACCTAGCCTGGATGATCGGACCATGATCATCACCCCTAAGAGATGGTAGCAGAAGCCATTTTCAGACACTTGGAGGAGAATGAAAGAAGAAAAGGGGGCTAGATGGTTGAAGGGGAAGAACATAGGAACCATGAGGCATTAAAGAAAAACAAATGACTGTGAGGTCATTAGGTGGGCACACCAGCATAGAGAGAAAGGAAGAGATAAAAAAAGAGTTTAGATGCTAAAATGTTGCAAAATTGAACTCAAGGAATATGAGGAGCAATTCCAATAGCATTAAGGTGAGAGGAAGAGGTGGGAAGGGTAAAAATCAACTGCTGTAATGCTGTTGCAGACATATTTCAAGCAATTTTCTGATTATGGGAGTCTGGTGTCAGTTGTGTTATCAGGTTTTGACTCTTTTTAATCTTGATTGATTGGGGGTGGAGCTGTGGAGGAGTTTCAATCTTGTTTTGTCTTGGGGTGGGGCTTGTTCTTTCTTTGGCTGCCCAGGTTGCTCTTTGTAATTTTTTACAGTTTGTTTTCATTTTTCAATAGTATTTTCTTTTGACTATAAAAAAAAAAGATAAAGAGAATCTACCTGTAAAGCTGTCAAAATCTTACGATTTACGATACAATTCACGATTTGAATCATGAATCCCAAGGGTTTTGATTCGAGCCTTATGTCTGAATCCTTTTCTTTAAAAATCTTACAATTTTTGTTGAATCCTACGATTTGATTCGTAAATCCTACGGTTTATGCCATTCTTGTGATTCACTGTGATTCAAGTCAATTCAATTAAGAATTAGTTTTCTACTTTATCATTTTGTTTTGTTTATATTTTGTCAAGGGCAATTTGTTTGAAGGACCTTACTAGAAATTGATTTATTTATGTTATTTCAGACTTCTATTGTACAAATGGTAAGTTCTGTTGTTTTAGGTACATGCATGGTTGATAGATTTGGATTTAATAGAATCAGTTTTCTGTTTCTATTTTGCCTTTTAGCATATCTATATTTAATTTTTCGTCAAGTTTTTAAAAATAAAAATAATCTTACAATTTATGATACGATTTGGTTCAACTTTTTTTTTTTACAATTTACAATTTACAATAGGATTATGATTTTCAGACTCCTAGATTAGCAAGCTATTGCTCCTTTGTCTCCATATTTTGAGAGCTTCCTTGAGACTCTTCTCTTTTGATTTTTTAATCTTCTTCTGATTTGGCATATGGTGTCCTTTGAAAGGAGGAGAAGGGCCCATGCATATGTTTAATGTTAACTACTTTAGGAGTATCAGTGAAGCAAGAATTTTGGCTTTTTTTTTAAGGATCTCTCAATGCTGCAAATTTTGATGGACCAAAGTGGTGTTGAGGGGCTTTAGAGATGCTAATGTGGATTGTTTCAGAGATAAGGCTAGGCTCTTCTGGTGGCTGGTAATGGGGACCCCTCCAGAACCAGATAATTTAAGCTCAACTCGAGTAGCTGCCAGATTGATATCCTTTGTCCATTTGATATCGGTGGGGTCAGCCAGGAATAGTGTTTTGAAAGCAAGAGGCACAAAGCACAAGACAAGGTGGGCGCTTGAATGAAGCAAGGTGCAAAGTTTTGAAAAATTCAAAAGACAAACAAACTTTAATACAAAAATGCAAATTTGAACTTTAAAAGAAACTAAATGTTTTATTAAAATACATAATATAACATATAAAACAAATTCAAATTCAAAGTGAAAGCAAATAAATATGGATCATACCAAAAAATCAAGAAATTAAATGTTTTTCTCAACGTGTTTGTCTATCTCCTAGCATCAATTCAAGCAACTAGTGTGATATCAAACACCTTGCCTTCCAGATTCTAGGAGGTTGGGGCCTTTATGGAGGCAGAAGGCTGATGGCTTGATGGTTTGGGTGCAAATGGGCAATACCTCGGATGTGAATTTTGGCATATATAAATGAGTCCAACCACGGTGCAGAAACTGAATAATTAACCAAAAAAATAACCAATCACGTTAAAGATGTCACCTGTGATGTCTCACTTTCTCATTGGTTCACTTTTTCTTTTTTTTTTTTTTTTTGCTTAGTGCAGTTTCTGCACTGTAGATTTTGCCTACGTATAAAGTAGTTTGTTTTGTGATTTCAGCAATTTGGTTGCAGTTCATTCTATTTAGTGTCAGGCATTAGAGATTAGTTATATTTTTATTGCTTGTTTAGTGTGGAAAGTTTGCTACCTGAGATTCTATGTGCAACCACTAGGGCTTCAGGTATTCACAAGGTCATTGTTTTTTAAAAGTTAATAGATAATTACTGGTGCACACGTACCAACAAAAAGGTTATTTAGAAGCTAATAACTATTTTAAAGGTTTAAAACACAAAACCATGTAAAAAGAACATTTAACATTTATAAAAGGTATGCACATGGATTGCTTTGCGCCTCAGCCCAGGTGGGCCTAGGCATACCAGTCGTACACCCTTTGAAAAGATATAGGCATGGGTTCAAGTGGGGCACATGCCTTAAAATGCGCACCCAGGCATGCCTAAAACACTGAGAAGGATGGCTCAAATTTAGGTCCGTTTGTATTGCTATTAGAGCTTAGGTCCTTGCCTTGTTACTGGGTCTCAGACTTGTCTACTCTCCTGGTGCTTAGGGAGATATCATGGAGGGCAATTTAGTTATGGTTATAAATAGAAGCATGCATATAGAGTGCTTTGCATGTTATTTCCATTGTACCGCAGAGCCCCATGCATTTACAACAGGATTGGATACTTCCTCCTATTGACCAATTCTTTGGTGGATGAGCTCTTGGAGAGAAATTGCTGGGGATGATTTGTTCTTTGGTGCATTTTTCCCAGTGTAGTTGGTTTTTGGTTTATACTCTATAGTCTGTTTTTGAGTTTTCTTCTCAAGAGCAGTTTGCTCCTGTTGTATGCTTGCTTTTTTTTTTGAGCCTGGGCTATTTTGTCTAATTTTCTATTGTTTTGTCCTTTATTTTCTCTGCAATGATATTTGCTTCTTGTAAATCCATCTCTCTCTCTCTCTCTATATATATATATACATATATATAGTAGATAAATAGATAGATATGGTTCTGACTCCGAGAATAAATGTTATGATATTATTATTTCATTTCTGTATCATATACCTTGCTTGTTTATACCCTGTTAGAGTTATATATATATATATATTGACTGTATTGAATTATGGTGCAAAGGACTCAACATCTGAGGCTGACCAAGGTCATGTGGCACAAGATGGAGCAGAAGCTTGTGTAGATTCTGGACCTTCGCAAGATGGGAAATCTGATGAAAAAGTGAAGGGTAAAGAGGAAAGAGATAAGGAAAAGACTAAAGATTCAGATAAAGACAAGGGAAAAGAAAAGGATTCTGAAAGAAAAGGAGAAACTGAGAAGGAGAAAATTAAAGGACTTGAAGGGACAAATTTGGATGCTCTATTGCAGAGGCTTCCTGGTTGTGTGAGCCGTGACCTTATAGATCAGTTGACTGTAATCACAGCCTGTGCTTTATTGGGTTCCTGTGCTATATTTATTATTTGCTTTCTATGAATCCTGCAGCATCTTCACCATGATCTTTCTTTGCAGGTGGAGTTCTGTTATCTAAACTCAAAATCTAATCGAAAAAGACTTGTTCGTGCATTATTCAATGTCCCCAGAACTTCTTTGGAATTACTTCCATATTATTCTCGGATGGTGGCTACACTGTCGACATGCATGAAGGATGTTTCTTCTATGCTCCTCCAGATGTTGGATGAAGAGTTTAATTTCCTGATAAATAAGAAGGTCTCTTTTGTATTTCAATATGCAACATTTTGATTATTGTTACTTCATCTGTTCAACACAATGTTTTAAAAGCGCAAGGCGAGGCGCGCGCCTTTTTAAGAAAGGCACAAAATTACAAAAAAAAGCTAAAAAATAAAAAAAGTCAGAAAATTAAAAAAAATGCCATTTTTTTTTTAAATTGCAAAAAATATTAAACATAATGTTAATAAAAAATGTAAACTTAAATTTTAAAATAAATGATTTAAAAAACTTATTATCCAAAATTAAAATAGATAAACATAACATGTAAAGTGTATTCAAATGAAAATTTAAAAATAAAAGCAAACATATAAAGCATTTTCAAGCATGTAAAACCCACGATCTCTTTTTTTCCTTAATTGCATTGCTTCAAGTAGTTAATGTGATGTAAAACATATTGCATTCTTGATTCTATGAGTCGCCTTTGTATCACGCCCCCCGAGGCAAGCCCGAACAAGTATACGTTAGGGTCTGAAATTCTTATTTCTCACATAAAAAATAATGATTTTATAACTTTCATTGCCTTTTTAAGAAGATAGACTTGCTTGGGCTTGCCTTGAGGGGCGTGGTCAGGGGTCCGGGGGCGGAGCCCCCGGCCCAGCCGTTAGATTAAAAAAAACAAAAAGCGCAAAATTTTAAAAAGGCACACGCCTGGGCTGAGGCGCAAGGCGCATTAGGCGCATGCCTAGGTGCACCAGGCGCGTGCCTTTTGAAAGGGGTGCGCCTAGGACTTGGGCAAGGCGCATACCCGCTAAATGCGCCCCGCCTGTGCGCCTAAGGCGCGCCTTTTAAGTCACTGGTTCAACATGTGATGCAATCAGTCTAATCTTTTCATTTATTCATGATTCATCTTCCATATTTCTTTCCATTCATGTTCTTGTTTTTATTATCATGGTTATGATTATGACATGCTTCAGGATCAAATGAACATAGAGACAAAGATCAGGAACATAAGGTTTGTTGGAGAACTATGCAAGTTTAGAATTGCACCAGGAGGCCTTGTATTTGGTTGTTTGAAGGTAAGATAATGTTTGCTTGATAATCAATTCAACTTGAGAGAACAAATTGTTCTTGTTCTGGAAAACTGGTTCATACTGCATTTTTTTTTTCTGTTCGAGGTATAATGAGATTTGAGGTTATATATAGTTGTTTAAACCAAAACTATGTGTTTCTTTTCACCTGTTGAATAACAACTGTTGGAGGCATAATGAGATTCTGACTACAGAATCTTCTGCTTTAAAATATTTAACTTATTTGCTCTATGTTTTGGAACTGGTATAGTCATGGCATCTTGGTTGTAATTGACTGGATATGAGATATTCATTTGGCCTATGGTGTTTGATGCATCATATTTAGAGAGCTAGGTGCCTTGGCTTCTAGTTTCAAGTTTCAACATCTTGTTCAGATGGAGATTGTTAACACTAAAATATTGTTCAGATGGGTTTCTGCCTTTCTGGGTCTGCAAATTCCATAGCGGATTGACCAACTAAAGGTAGGATCGTTAGGAATGAGTTACATTGAGGTACTGATGTTATGGGATTGTCTATTGCCTTGTTATTGCTGTTTTTGTTTTTGTTATTGTTTTTATTATTATTATCATCATTGTTGTTGATTACCTCATCCCTTCTTATGCCAAAGAGTCTAAATTAGAAATTTTAAACAGAAAGGGGTATTTTGATCATTTTACATACTTCTGTGGGTTTGACCAGCAGCTCAATTTTTCTATTTATAGTGTTCAAAATTTCAGTCATTCGTTAAGTTGTTCAGTGATTATTTTGTTTTCCTATAAGAATGGTAATTCTATGGATATTTTCCTAGTTTTTAATATGATTGGCCACCCCTAATCCATTTTAACGCTCCTAGATTCATTATTTATTCATTCCAGTCCTACACTAATTGGTACCAAAGCATGTAGTTATACATTTGATTGTATGCAAACTCATGATTTATCACTTTGTTCTCATGAAGTGGCCCATCCAGTAGGCCTGGGGTATCTCATATTCAGTTGTATGGATATGGGTTTGGTAGAAATCATTCTTATTGGTTTGGAATTAATGACAATCAATTTTCTGACCAAGGATCTTTTGTGGTCTTATTTGAGAAGATCGTGGAAGAATTTAGATCTGATAATGTCTACATGAGCAATGTTTCCAAAAATGCAAGGAAAGGAATACCAAAATTTGGGGGAGATAATCATGCACAAGTATTCTTTGATTGGTTAGTTTTATTGGAAGAATATGCTGATTAGTATGATATGTCTAATGAATAGAGAGTTGAAATTAATTGATCAAAAAAATAGAGAGTTGAAATTGCACATAGTAAGTTGGTGGCTAATGCCAATAAAGGGTAAAAGCATGGATGATCTTATTAGATGCACAAGCTGGCAACATATTGTTACTTGGGAGGAGATGAAGAAAATTAGGCAAGCAGTGTTTTCTATGGACAGATCCAAAGCTTCTAGGCCAGATGGATTCACCATGGCTTTTTATCAAGACTGTTGGAATGTGGTAAAAGAAGACCTTTGTGCTGTGTTTAAGGAATTTGATGACAATAACAAAGTAAGCTTGGGATTAAACTAGATCTTTCTTCTAATCCCTAAGAAGAAAGAAGCAAAAAATCCTAAAGATTTTAGGCCAATCAGCTTGGTGACTAGCATTTACAAAATCTTGGCTAAAGTGTTATCTTTGAGGATTAAAGTAGTGCTACCCTCCATCATTAGTCAAGCCCAAGGAGCATTCGTGCAAGGGAGACAAATAACATATCAGATCCTAATAGCTAATGAGTGTGTGGAGGATATGAGAAAGTCTGGAAATCAAGGTTTTGTTTGCAAGATGGATTTAGAAAAGGCCTATGATTTGGTGGATTGGAGTTTTTTTGTTAGAGGTCCTAGGGTGTTGTGGGTTTGGAGCTAGAGGGTGTAATTGGATAAAGGGTTGCATAAGTTCTTGCCATTTTTTGGTCTTGGTTAATGGGGTAGTCAAGGATTTTTTCCCAGCTTTTAGAGGATTAAGGCAAGGTGACCCTCTTTTTGCTTTCATTTTCACCCTAGTTGTAGATGTGTTCAGCGGTTTGATTTCTAAGGCAGACTTGGAAGGAGTAGTGAGAGGTTGGAAGATAGGAAGGAACGGAATCAAGGTGACCCACTTACAGTTTGCTGATAACCTAATAATCTTTTGTGAAGGGGATGATAGGAGAACAGTAAGGCACCTTAAGTCTCTGATAAAACACTTTGAGAGAGTATCAAATCTGAAAATAAACAAGGATAAGAGTTGCGTGGTGGGTGTGAATTTGGATGAGAGGGCTATTGAGTCTGTGGCTGAGTGTCTAGGTTGTCCCATTTCCTCCTGGCCCTTATAGTATTTAGGTCTACCTCTAGGAGTCAACCCTAAGGAGCACCTTTTGGGCCCCGGTTTTGGAAAAGTTTGAGAAAAGGTTAGCCTCGTGGAAAAGGAACTATATTTCGTTAGGGGGTAGAGTAACTTTACTGAAAGCTTCCTTAGCAAATCTGCTGATATATTACTTCTCTATGTTCAGGATTCCCATTAGGGAGGTTAAGAAGTTGGAGAGATTAATGAGAAATTTTCTTTGGGAGCCAAGGGAGGAAAAAAAGGACCATTTAATAAACTAGGGAATAGTATGTAGGAGGAAAGAGGAGGGTGGGTTGGGATTAGGGAACTTAGTTTTGAAGAATAAAGCTCTCTTAGGTAAATGGTTGTGAAGGTGGCCCTTAGAACAAGGGCTATGGCATGAGGTGATAGAGAGTATACATGGCAGTTCGGGAAATGGGTGGGATGCTGGTGTATCCATGTTGGCAACTCCTTGGAAAGCAATTTAGAGTATCCTTCCTTTTTTCCTCAACTTTATCAGGTATGATGCCAATTCTGGTATTTCTGTTTTATTTTGGGAAAACATCTGGGTGGGCAATTCTGCCTTTAAGGACAGTTTCCCTTCTCTTTATTCCCTTTCTTATTACAAGAATAAAGCAATCTCACACTTTCTTCCAACATCTGTTTATCCTTCCTCTCTGAATTGGGACTTCGGGTGTCGTCGGGGCTTGAGGGATCATGAGCTCTCTTGTGTTTCAGACCTTTTGTCTCTACTTGGAAGTGTCTTTCTGGACCCTCTCAGATCTGATGTAAGACTTTGGTCCCCTAATCCAAAAGGTTACTTCACGTGTGCGTCCTTCCAGCTAAGGAGATCTGGTCTAGAGCTGTACCTCCTAAAATTATTATTTTCTGGTAGGAGGTGTTCTATAGGAAAATCAACACTTCAGACCTATTGCAGAAGAGAAGGCCTTCCATGTGTTTGTCTCCTAACTGGTGTGTACTTTGCAGGGCTAATGGTGAGGATTGCTTTCACTTACTTTTAACCTGTTCCTTTTTTGATGTTATTTGGAGCTGGATCTTTGCCTTGTTTGGGTGCAGGTGGAATTTGACTACAACTGTAGATCAGCTCTTTGACCCTTCCTTCTTTGTGTAGCCCACAAAAATTGGTAAAACAATGTGGAGATGCATTAGAGCTGCTGCTTTGTGGACAATTTGGGAGGAAAGAAATGCGAGGATTTTCCAAGAGAATGAGAGAAATATTCAGAACATAAAGGTTTGCATTTTGACTTGGGCAATCCATTGGCTCAGATCATTGGAATTGTATAGTTGTGGCTAGTAGCAGTACTAGGAAGAGCAGGGTACCATCTGTGTGGGTGCCTCCTTCTGAAGGCTGGACAAAGCTGAATTTTGATGGTAGCAGCCAAGGAAGTCCAGGTCCTTCAGGGATAGGAGGGGTGCTGAGAGATAAAGACAGCAATATCTTAGCTTTATTCTCAGGCTCCGTGGGTTTTGGAGACTCTATTAGAGCTGAGCTTCTAGCGGTGGTACAAGGTATTCGGATTGCAGATCAGTTAGGAGTTCAGAAATTACTTATTGAAGGAGATTCCAAAGTTGTTGTGGGTTGGTTAAAAAATCCAGATTCAGTTATTTGGTGCTACAGGGACATTATGAGGAAAGTTAATTTGTTTTCAAGGAACACGACTGTTATTTCTCAGTGGGTGGGTAGAACAGCTAATGCCATAGTGGAGGGGTTAGCTAAGCAAGGGGTATCAAGGGAACATTTATTCTGGGCAGCTCTGTAAACTTTCATTTCTGAGCCTGATGTAGTACTTTGTTGTTGTTGAGGAGAGGTACCAGCTCGTGCCTCTCCTCGGGCAGTCTGTATTGTAACATCACTTTGTTTTCTTTGAATAAAATACCATTCATTTATCAGAAAAGAAAATCTACCTATCAAGAAATGTCTACAGAGTATATGGATATATTTGGATAACTAGCCATTCATTGTGATATAATCTAGCATCAGGCAAAGATTGGCTGATGTTTCTGTTAGTCCTTGAGGTGGAACAGGATTTTGAGCAAATTGAAGATGCCATAGGTGATGAGTGATGACTTTTGAGGTTCCGGATGATTATTACATTTTCAGCACGGCTACACTGATCTTAAAGATGGGAGTGAAACCAAAGAATCCAAGGTCCAATCTACAATAACCATTAGACACTGAAAATCAAGAAGTTGCAGGTCAGGTTCATGTTGAAATTGAAGGTCACCTGTGCAGTGATGAAGAGGATTCTTTCCCTGATGATAGGGTCTGCAGATCGGTTTCTCCCCTCAAAGTCTCTTTCTTTTTATGGGTGGCAGTATTGGGCAAGTGCTTAACAGTTGACAACTTATCAAAGAGAGGTTTGGTGATGGAACTCAGTGGATGTGTGCTATGTAGCAATAATTTGGAGGAGGTGGAGCATCTTTTCTTGCATTATAGATTCACTTGGGAGATATGGATGAAATCTCTGAGGGTGTTTGGAGCTCAGCTGTGTTTCCTGATGGACTTGATGGTGTTGCTAAGTAGCTGGAATGTGGGTGGTTTGCAAGGAAAGGAAGGATTGTATGGAGGGTAGTGCCAGCAGCAATGCTGTGGTCAATTTGGAAGGAAAGAAACAGGAGGCTTTTTGAAGACAAGTTCAATTCAGAAGATA